CCTAGATATGGAAGGATATGATGAAATGCTCAACGTGGCTTCCCACAAAATCTACTTCTTCCCCTCACATACAGAGGACGCCTCCTTCATTGGTGTAACAGATGTTTTACTATTTTCATCAACGTGACCATTCTTTTTCTGAAAAGGGTCTGAGTATAAATTGAGAAGGTTGTGGGTTATAGGAGAGAAAAGTTTTTATAGCCATGATTTTACATTCTGCTGTGGTCCAGGTAAGGTAAACAAACACTGTTTTAAAGGAATAAATGTTGATTATAGAAAAAGAAGCAAGTAAATTGATCCCTGACCGTCTGCCACAGGGACACCTGCTCCTATTCCCCAGAGGGAGCTCTTGTGCTCAGGAAACATGGTGATGCATTATAGGGAGGTTTTACAGCACTGTCACTGCACAGATATTCTTCAGGCTTTTTCCCAATTAAATAGGTTGTTTTTATGGGCTGACTCAGGCAACAGTCTGCCAGGTATAGCACTATTTTTTATGAGATGTGTTCTCCATTCTCAAAAGCAACTTTTAGAAAACAGCCTGTTCATACATTGGGGATTTCTATCATCAGAGGTTTGTTACTTGTGGGGTCAGAGATTCATACAAGACCCAGGGAGCCTGCAAGAATGTGGAATCACAAAGCCATAAAGGGAGTGGTCAGTAGGGTAAGATGCTCCAAAGGCTGGAGACTAAGATTGGCAATGTACCACTCAGTAACAAGGGTAGCAGTGCCTGTTCAGAAGCACTAGGCTGCAGGAATGCCCAGTGGTTGAGGAAGCAGAGGTAGTAGCTTATTACTATAACTTATTATAACTCCAAATGTGGTCCTAAGACCAGCAGCATCAACATCAGAAACACAGAATCTCAGCTAACCTAACAAATCAGAGCCTGCATTTAAACAAGATCCCTAGATGATTCTTAAGCACATAAAAGTTTGAGAAGCACTGTCGTGGACTGTTTTAAGAAGTGCAGCAGTGGTAGGTAAGAGACAGGATAAAAGCCAGAGGAGAGGGAGAGATTGGAAATGGAAATGCAAGAGAAAGAAGACCACAAGAGAAGGAGGCCTGTGGAGAGGAGAAGGGATCGAGAGAATTAACTTGGGAAAAGAGGTAGGACTCTTCCTTTGTTGAGAAAAATGAGAAAGAGGAAGTGCAAGACCAAAGACAGACAACTGAGAAAACTCGATGGATGGATGACTCAGTTCTCCACAATAAAATTGGTGGCAAAGTCAACCACTGAGGAGGAAGAGAAAGAGACGTTTTAGGCAAAACAATACTCCATAGTTTAAAAACTGCTTTCTTTAACTCACAATGCTCTAGTTTAAATGATGCTTACTTTTGGTTAACATTTCTTTCTGTAACTCCTTTAAATAGGTATACATCAATGTATTAAAATATTAAATACTTTAATGACCATTTACAATAAAACTTTTGCATTTCTGCAAGTAGCTTGATGAGCCATGAACTTCACTAGTGCCAGCATTATATAGCTTGCTGACACTATTAAGTCAAATAAATATCATGGTCGCAAATATGTATGAAAACTTGAAAGAACAAAAAAATATGTTAAATCTTTACCTACAGTTTTTATGTCTGCAAAGTTTGCTAAATCAATAAAATGATCTAAAAAGTTCATCTCACAGTCAGATATATTAGTGATTTACTTCATTGGTTTTCTGATCACCATTTATCATGAAGTAAAGCATCTTCAGAATAAATGGTGGAAATCAAAAATTTGACGTGCTTGCCTCTTACATAAACTAAATGTTTGATTTATAAGACACAAACGAACAAACCACTATGGCCTGTCATGTTTTCCCAGTTTCTAATTTATTCAACCTCTGCTCAATATTGATCCTAACAAGCAGAGTGGCCCAAAGATAAATTTATTCACTCTACAGTTTAGTCAGGAACAAGCCAAAAATTATAGATTTTCCCAGGCAGATGATGACAGGCAGTCAGGGGGATGACAAATGGCTGTCTTTAGATTTAGCTAGGACAGTTGGGCCAGACGTTTCCGATAAAGATTGGAGCATGCTGGTCAAATACAGGTTCATCAGCAGCCGTCATTAATTGTAGAGAGAGCATTGCCCGTGCTGCAGGCACCTATACAGGAGCTTAGGCACGAGCCCTGCATGGGAAATAGAATTGGCTCCTCAGTATTTTGCAGCACTCCTGTAAGTGATGGCATGACAAGATCATTTATCAAACAGAGACTGTCCAGAAAAGTGTCTGCTCCCTTTAGTAACTTATTGAAGGGCAGGAAAGTGAAAGCATTTTATTAAAGACAGGAAGGCAATGAACAACCAGAGCGTATCCAAAGGGTAATCATATTTCAGCACAGGATTAGTTTAGTCTTAAGTAAACATACTCTGGAGGGAGTATGTCGAGGGTCATTTATCAAGTGAAGAACAATTAACAAAACTCTACAGGACTGTTTTATCTATATAAATTTAGAATTCTCTTATTGTTATTATTACTTAACTTTTAGATGATGGGCATCGTATGCAACACTGTACAAAAATGCAATGCACAATCCCTTCCTTAGAGGTTTTTTAAGGCTAAGAGAAATACAGTGAAACTCTCACATGAAATAAGATAATTATGGCTATGTCAAACGATGTTGAACAAATGCTGTGGAGAGGGCATAATCCAGGGCCCAGGACTGAAGGATGATGTTTTAACTTTTGAAGAGAGCTTTCTTACAAAAAGTCAACTACTTGTCAGTGGGTCAGAAGCTTATTCTTACAACAATTTTTGCTCTCTGTTGACTAAAATTAAGACAAAGGGAATTAGCTGAGGGGTGGTAGGGCAGGCACAGAGGCAGAGAATTAACACATTTATTACTTACCTGCTTTGTTCCAGGCACTTCATATGCCACTGCAACTAATCCTAGTTATCTTCACTTTGTAAATGAGGACACAGACTTGCCTAAGGTCAAACAGTAAGCAGCAGTGCCAGGAAGTTTGGAATTGCCTGTATATTTTTTAAACAATTCCTTATATTTTTCACATAAAATTATTTATTTGGATACTCACAGTCTAGGACATTATTTCCAGAACTGGAAAAAGTTTTACCACTTTATGGAGGAAGACGTTGGTCTCAGGAAGATTAAGGGACCTACCAGTTGCTCTGCAGGAGGTCCTAGACACCAACTGTCCTTATAATTATTCCCCAAAGACAGCATTTCTTCATGTAGATGCAAGCACATTTCTGGATATTCCAAATTTGTTACCTCCATGATATGACAGAGTTTTGTGGGGATTTTTAATATGTGGAAGGGAACTGCTATCAAAGACTCATAGTAAAAAAATGATTTTCTAAAATCTATGGAATAAATACAGTCTTACTATAAGAAATTTTTCCAAAAATGGAAAAATGAAATATCTAAGTAACAATAAACATGGGTTGAGCAAAGAATAAGATAGAAGGTACAAATAGGTCAAATAGATATAAAAGGCTGAATGGTAGGCATCAAGCTTTGAAGGTGAGGAAATGATATGGGGAATAAAAATGTCAGGCAATGCCCTGTCAATTGATTTCGGCTTTGCAATTAAGAACATGTATGAATTAATGTATAATTTGTATTTCCTAATTTTCCCTTATACCTTATGATAATTTTGGTCTTGGCTTGAGGAAAACAAATGGAAGAAGCATAGGAATTTGCCTGCTGCTCTCCTCTGGAATTTTTATTAACTCTGTAATCCTCACACCCATATTCTCAAGAATAGCAATCCCCCTACATGTGTACAAGGTCACATATATGGCAATGCTCTGAAAACCAGAAAGCTCTCCACAGAATTAGTTATTATCAGTATTTATTACTATTAGCAGCAAAACATTTGCTTTAAAAGAATGTTTCTGCCCTATTGAAGGTAGTTTTCCTTTTTTTTTCTTTTTTGTCTATAGCCATTGAATTTTTAAAAATCAATTGAAGGCTACAGAGTAGAAAAAGAGTTTTTGCATTACTTGTTTTGAGTAATTCATTACAGATTAAACTTATCTGATTCTTAAAATAAAAAACAGAATTTTGGAGACATATATAAGAAATACTCAAAGTATATTTTCACTTCCATTAAATAGTAGCTAAAACAAAATATACATATTTTAAACATGAGGAAGGGGAGAAAGCAAGGAAAAGAATGACAGAAAGACAGGCATTGGAGAAAAAGATAGTGACACTGGATGGAAAAAGAAACCCAAATAGGGAGGAAGAGGAGGTGAAGAGGGCAAACTGAGAGAGCTAGGCCTTAAATGCCATTCATCTGTTTTTCTCACATTCATTTGGATTGTAGACCATGGAATAACTTAAATATTCCTTGAAATATAAATTGGCTGATTTTCTTGTAAGCTATAAAAACGCACAAATGTTGATGACATGCATAAAACAAAATTGTACCCACAGTACGATGACAATTAAAAAAGAAATCGCTATGCTCAAAAAAGACGACTAGAATGATATATAACATATTAAAAGTGATCTTTGGGTGATAAGCATGCAAGTTATTTTTTTCTCCTTCTATTTTCCCCTCTGATTTTTTTTTACAGATTTCTAAAATGAATATGCATTCTTTATAAAATAAAAAACAACTATATATTACTTGCAACGCCAATGGACTGCTTACTTACTACTCCTTAATTGCCCTAATCTGTAAACTTCCATAAACTCCACTAAGAATAGGGCATCTTCCGCAGCGTAAAGCAGCCAGAGGGGCAAAAGTGTTTCTGAGCTGCAGCTTGGGTCCATTTAAGGGAGTGTGAGAGAGAACAGTTCTGTGGCCCTCAACTCAGGACCTCACTTTTTGCCTCATCTTTAGCCCCCTCTATTACCAGTATAGACTATTGTATCCAAAAAATATTTATTGTACACTTTCTAAGTACCTGGCACTGAGCTAGAACTCCATGAAAAGCAGTAATTACCTTTAAAAACAGTTAACTGACATGAAAGAAACACTGATAATTATGAAACACATGTCTTGCCTTTTCTTCTCTAATTATAGGATTTGGAGTTTTTACTGAACAAGTTGATGAAGCTGTGGAAAATGGATCTAAATGGAAATCCTGTTTGTCTCAAACCAAAATACAGAGACAGACTGATACTGGTGTCCAAATCACTGGGTACATGTTTACATTATTTTAAAGATTTTATTTATTTTATTTTTTCCCCCCAAAGCCCCAGTAGATAGTTGTATGTCATAGCTGCACATCCTTCTAGTTGCTGTATGTGGGACTCGGCCTCAGGATGGACGGAGAAGTGGTGCCTCGATGCACACCCGGGATCCGAACCCGGGCCACCAGCATCGCAGCGCGCGCACTTAACCACCAAGCCACAGGGCCGGCCCTGTTTACATTATTTTAATACAATTTTCTTAGAGAAAGAGACCTGGTTAACTTTTTAGTTAATTTATCAGCAAGCCTTCAGAAATATAAATATGACATCTGGATCTACGAAAATGGTCAACTTTAAATTTGATATTTTGAATAAGAGCAAAAGTTAAAATTGAGAAATAAAGCATGAAAAAATCTGCTGTTCAGAAATAATTAAGGCACCAGATAATTCTCTAAAAAGAAAATGTGGCTGTTACCAATAAAAATAGTTAGTCACAAATGTGTAGAATTTGCTGACCTTTTGCCAAACCTTTACTGGCACAAATCCTCTGAAGATCCCGAGAGACTCTTTAGCTCTTGGTTCTGTAGATAAAACTGATCAAGGTTTTATCAAGTGCTTGACACTTGCCAAATGGGAACTAAGAACATATAGGAGTACCTTCAATTTGAAAGGTGAGCAGGGTGGGGAGTCCCTTTATGAGATCCTTACAAATAATAACATTCCTGAATATGCACTATACTGGGGGAACTGGAGCAAAGCACTTTAATAGGGACCAAGTTACATAGCATCCCAGAGACAGGCACTGCCCTCTCACAAAGGAGACTCGTGAGAGGGTTTCCCATATCAGAACTTCTGTTACATGCTGTACTTAGGTATAAAAACCATTTCAAAGCTCATAACTGTAGTAATCCTTGATTAATCATAATGCTAGTACAGTGGTTCTCTTGGAAGAGGGAGTGGTGGACAGAGGGCATATCATAAAAATCCAAGGAGATTTTTCAAAATACATATTTGAGGGTCACACCCACACTTTATCCCACCAGCCAAGGGTAAGGAACAGAATACACAGGGAGAACAGTCAGGTATGTTTTTTAAAAGTTCTACAGATGATTCTGCTATGCACCAGCCCCCAACTCTCCATCTCCTCACCTCTCTGCCCACCACACACAATTGTATTAGTCCACTTGCCTTAGGAAGCAGAGTAAATACAATTGATGTTTGATGATTAAGAATCTGCTGATATTCATGGAACTATTTCTGGAGGGGCCGGCCTGGTGGCGCAAGTGGTTAAGTGCGCACGCTCCGCTGCGGTGGCCCAGGGTTCGCCGGCTCGGATCCTGGGCATACACTGATGCACCACTTGTCAAGCCATGCTGTGGTGGCATCCCATATAAAGTGGAGGAAGATGGGCACGGATGTTAGCCCAGGGCCAGTCTTCCTCAGCAAAAAGAGGAGGA